AAAGGTGTTGATCCCTGCCATGCAGAAGCTCTCCCATGGGGAGGCATCCAGGACCTCCATGTGACACCACCGTCCCCATCCTGGGGTGCAGTGGGGCTGGGAGCCCTGGGCAGCACAACCCAGCCCAGCCCGGTGTTGGGGTTGGAGGGTTTTAGGTTATAGGGCTTGGCTTTGTTTGCAAATGCTCCAGCTCCTGGCCATAAAGAAGGGCAGATGGTCTCTGAGATAAGAGACACTGAAGGGATTGCTCTCTCTTTCCTCCGCCATAACTCACAGCTGCCAACATCTGCCCCCGGCCACCCCGGTGTGAGCCGGGAAAGGGGGTGACTCGAGCTGGGGTGGGGAGCAAGGTCCTGGGGTGGGAGAGCGGGGCTGGATGCGGGGAGGATGTTACCGGAGTGAAAAGCGAGCCCAGAAATAGCAAACGCAGTTACACAAGGCCCCGGTTGCCATGGGATCTTCACAACCAAAAATGACGGGGCTCTGGCAAATACAAGAACGGGCCCTTTCATGTGTTTCTATGGGAAGTCAGCGCCTCGCTGCAGCCTCCCGGGCTGGAGCCTTTCCCAGGGCAGGAAGGATTTGGGGACACCAGTTGCAGCACCGGCTCCGTGCGGGCGGCAGGGAGACCCCCGGTAAAGTCCCCGGCAGACCCTCACTGGGGTCCAGGGTGCTTTTTCCCAGGGCAAGTGTCCCAGGGTCACTCAGCACCGACCTGGTGGCCAACCCGAGTGATGGTGCAGCCACGAGCAGGTTTAGTGGCAACCAACTTCTGCTTGGGCCAAGGACTGGAAAGATCCCCTTGGCCACCCGCTCTTCCTCCTACCTGCCCAGCTCTGTCCGTCCTCCCTCCCCTACAGGAATCCCCCGCCATGAAGCTCAGCAGATTTTCCTTCTGCAGCTGAGGACGGCCCCGCTCGGCACCCACGGACCCCCCGTCCCCTTCACCCCGTCCCCTCGTGAGATGTGCAGCCGGAGCATTGCTCGCCCTGGGGACTGGGGGGGTGGCCACGTCCTGGAGCTGTGGGGCCTGGAAAAGGCAAACCATGGGCAGGAATGGCTGGTGGACATGGCAGCTCGGGCAGCAGGGCAGGGGCAGACCCCAGACCCCAACCTGTGGCTACTATTTTTAACTGAGGGCTGTTTTCCAGGGCTGTCCCCTTCCCGGCGCTGCCGTGGCAGCAGAAGCCATTGCCATCCATCCCTGCATTCGGCACAGCCTGGCCTCGCACTCTCCCTGCCGGAATTCTCTCCCCGGAGAGATCTAATTAGCTAATTCCTTTGCTATTTATAAATCAATATGGAAATCCCTCTGCTTTATTCCCAGTGCCGTTGGTTGCCCTGGCTGGGCCCCTGCTAACTCAGTTAAAATCCTCCAGCAGATGATCAGAGGCTTGTGAATGGCTCCAGATACATGAATAAATAATTACATTAATTCTTCGTTAAGGGCTGGGGGAATACGGCGGGTGGCAGGAGCGGGGCACGGGGCTGGGGACTGCACCCTCCTGCAATCCCCTGGTGCAGGGGCTGCTCTCCCCGCTCTCCTTGCAGCCTGTCAGCGCTTAACACCTAATAAATTAATAATCAGCACGCAGCTTAAGTAGGTCTGGAAAGTGGAAAATAACATCCGTAAAGATCTTGCATCCCCGAGGCCTTTTAGGCAGGAGCAGAGTGCGGAGAAGGCAGACAGATTTGTCTGCCTGTCCATCTGCCGGAGGAGCAGACAGACCCGTAATCTGTCCGTCTGCCTCCGCCCCGCAAATCCCCGGCGCTTCCCGACCCACCAAAGCCCCGGGACCTGGCGGAGAAGCCCATGAGGAGCCGGAGCCTCCTCTGCCCCGCTCCGCTTCCCTGCCCAATGCCCGGGCACGGAGGAGCCCGACCCGTGGCCAAGGTGGTGATGGTGGGATGGGGTCCCTGGCGAGCGGGGCTGTACTGGTTTCCACTGGGAGGGTTGGGTTTGGTGTTTGGTTTACGCTGGAAGGCCATCAGTGGGTTTCTGCCCTCCATGGGCTCTCCTGGTGTAACGGCTTCTCTGTGTCACCAACGACACGCAGGGGAGGAAAAAAGCCTCTTCCCTGGAACAACCGGCCATGGGTCTGCCCGGGGGGACCCACGCTCACCCCACAGAGCTCCGGGGCTCCGGTGTGGCTGCACCAAGCGCCGCCGAGCACTCCCCGTGCTGCTGCCGGCAGCGCCGTCAGGACAGACATCTGCAGCGGAGCCGGGCCTTGGAAGAGGAGGCACGGCCGGGAATCCACGGGGAAAACGGGTCTATTTATAAACACATCCTTACGCAGCGCCGCAGAAGAGGGTTTTCAAGAAAAGCCGGGATCAAGAGAGACGTGGCAACTGGGGATTCCTCCGAGATGAAAGCCGCTAGGACACAGCATGCGAGGTTTCCTGCATCGCCTCTGACAGCGATGGGGGGCTGCCCCCCCAAAGCAGCTCTGCGTCTTGACCTGTCTCATCATGCTGAAGTTTGCCCTTTGGAGACACCCCATCCACCTCCCATCGCTCCAGCAGGAGAGCCGCAGGGTGTAAAGCACTTCTTCCCCTCCAGAGAAAGGTGGAAGAGATCTGGGCTTTGCAGGGGGGCTGGCGGACGAGGGGGGACACTATGCCCACCAGCTCCAGCTGAGCCAGTGGCACCACAGCCACCCTGCCAGCCCCATCCCCACCCCCAGCCCCATAAATCCCCTCTGGAACAAGCCCGGCCACCCCTCCAGCCCATCACTGAAGGAAACATCTTCCCAGCAAGCAGTCGGTTTCACGGCACGGGACACACGTTTGCACCCCCAACCCAGCAGAGTGGCAAAGCCACCCCAGGGCTGCCACTGTCACCCCAAAGGCTGCACCCCCAGAGCCCCCTCCCAGCTCCCAGTGCCCACAGCGGGGTCAGCGCAGATGGGTGGTGGGTTACTGGGGGTGCTCACCTTGGTGGTCCCTCTGTGGATTCAGTACGGGAGGACGGGAGCATCTCAGGATCGTCACATGGGTGGGTGGTCTTGGATGGGCACTGCGAAAGCCGGTGCTTGCTCAGGCTTGCTCAGCACAGCCAAAATGTGGGACAGCATGGTGGGATGGAGATGGGATGGGATGGGATGGGGATGAGGATGGGATGGGATGGGTCGGCGTGGGACAGGACAGCAGCATGAAAACTCTTTGCATTCCTCCAGAGGAGCCAGGACAAAATGAATCTCAGCAGAAAGACGGAAAATTGCTCCCAGAAGGTGAAAAGAAAAGTGTGGGGTTGGCACAGACACTGCCCAATGCCAAACGGGGCAGAGGGGAGGGCTGGCCAGCTGTGGCTTTGGTGGGTTTTGCTCCCCAGCAGGCAGTGGCTGGGGACACTGGCCTGGAGCTCGCACTCGGGAAGGAGTGGCAGAAGACGGAGCGTGTTTACTGACTGACTCAATACACTCTCTTGGACTGTTTGTCTTCCCAAAGCAAACCGCCTCACTACGCTCTGAAAAGCACGTGCTTTTAAACGGGGTACATCCTCCACGGCTCCCTGGCAGCCCCGACGGCCGCTGGGGCCACTCTCCATCTTGCAGATGGCCGAGGGCGGCGGGACCGGCGGCCATCCAGCGGCTTTATCAACTGGCAACCAAAAGTCAATAAGGAAGATGCCGCCTGTTTTAATTAACAGAGAAATTTCGCTGTAACGGGGGTGAGATGATGCGTGCCGGGGGGGGTGGCGGGGAGGAGAGAGGACAGAGACAAAACATGACCTTGTTGGCGGAGCGCACACAGCGGCACATTGTTTTCCCCCTCGGAGATGCTGGCCTTGATCCTGCGTGGGCTCCGCAGCGCAGCTGGGTGCTGGGGGGTTTGGGGGGGTCCCACCTGCCCGCGGCAGCTCCGGGGCTGGTTTGGCAGGAGTAGGGTCCCAGGAAGGCACCGGGGTCGTGGGGCTCGGGACACGGCACTCGGGAGGGTGGCCCGTGGCAGCCGCTGGCACGGTGGCCAGGGAACGCTGGTGGCTTGGCCAGGCACAAAAAGGTCTTGAATTTTGGGTGCCTTCAGTGAAATCAGCTGTGCCGGGGTGCCAAGGGAGATCCCAGGGGAGTCCCCCACGGCCACTGATGGCTCCACGCTGCGGTGAGGCTGTGGTTGGTGGCAGCACCGGGAAGCTGCAGGCCCCTCGCCAAAATCAACATCCACTTTGGTTTAGTCTCCTGTTTTATTTTCTCCTCAGCTCTGCCTTTTCCGGGAAAGCTGAGAGGAGGAAGAACCAGAGCGGACAAAAACCTACCGGTCTGCGTGCCAGGGGCAGGGATCCGGGGTGTGACCCACGGCACAACCTGTCCCCCGCAGGCAGACCCTCCGGGGGGCTGATGGGGCTGGGGTGAGGGGTACCCGGGGGGAGCAGTGTCCTGGGGCGCTGGGGCTGGGGGAAGGAGTGTGTGAGGTGATGGGACAGGGGTGACCTGCACCATGAGAGTGTCCTGGGGTGATGGGGCTGGGACAAGCGGTACCATGGGGATCCTCCCAGCCATGATGGGACTGGGATGAGCAGCACCCCAGGGGTGATGGGGCTGGGGGCAGAGGCCCCCCATGGATGATAGGACTTGGGTCAGAGGCACCCCAGGGGTGATGGAGCTGAGGGCAGAGGTACCACAGGGGTGTTGGGTCTGGGATGAGCAGCACCCCGGGGTGAGGGGGCTGGGGGCAGAGACACCCCAGGGGTGTCAGGGCTGAGGTGAGCAGCATCCCAGGGGTGTCAGGGATGGGGGCAGAGGCACCCAAGGAGTTAGGCGGCGGGGGGGGTGAGCAGCACCCCACTCCCCTTCCCCCCCTCCTCCCCGCAGCCTGCCCTCGCCCCTCCCGGGGCTGCCCCGGCCTCGGGGGGCACAAAGCCGGGGCGTGGGGGGGAACGGCCCCGTCGATACCCCCCATCCCCGCCGGGGCGGTGGCTCCATCCCGCTCCCCCGCCCCCGGGGCGGGCTCGGCGGCGGCCCGCCCCCGCTCCGTGCCTTATTACCGGGGCGGCGGGGGGCTCTGCCCACTCCCTCTCGGCGCCGCTCGCCCGCCGAGCGCAGCCGCCGCGGCGGGGTCCGCCCGACGGGTCCGCACCATGGGCAGCCAGGGCTCCAAGGCGGCCAAGGCGGAGGCCAGCGCTCCGCCAGCCGGCCACGCCGCCGCCACCGAGCCCGGTAAAGCCAACGGGCAGGTAAGTACCGGAGGGGGGGGGAATGAAGGGGGGCACCGGGGATCCGCGCCGTGCGCCCCGCCGGGGCGGGCTGGCGAGGGAACAAAGGCTGCCGGTGGCCGCTCGGTGGGGATGGGGGCGGCGGTGTCCCGGGGGAACCCTCCTGCCCGACGGGCACCACCGGAGCGATGCGGCACCGCCCGCGCCGCGCCCCGGGGCTCCCTCCCGCCACCGGGCGGGGGCTCCGACCGCCGCCGCGCCCCGGTACCGGGAGTGGAGCTCGGGCGCCGCCCGGTGGCAGCGAATTGTGTCGTGTGTGTGTGTGTCCCCCACCACCCCATCGTGCATCCCTCCCGATGCTTCACCCCCCTCCCCATACCCAGTGCCCCCCCTCCCCGTGCCCGGTGCTCCCCGTTTCCCCGGCGGGGGGCGGGGTTTTGGGGAGGGGGTGCCGAGTCCCGCTTGTTCCTAACGCGGTGCTCCGTTCCCTCCCCCCCGCCCCTCAATCCCTCCTTCCCCTCTTCTTTTCTCCGCAGGAAAATGGCCATTTGAGGTTCAACGGGGACATGACGCCCAAGGCGGTCGGCGAAGGGGCGCCCGTGAACGGGAACGGCTCTGCCGAACCCCTCCCGGAGGAGAGCAAGGGGGAGGCGGGCGGCGGGGACGCCATCGAGCCCGCTCCCCCCGCCGAAGAGGGGGACGCCAAACCCGAAGGCGCCGCGGCCCCAAAGGACACCCCCAAGAAGAAGAAGAAGTTCTCCTTCAAGAAATCCTTCAAGCTGAGCGGGATCTCCTTTAGGAAGAACAAGAAAGAAGCCGGGGACTCCTCGGGGTCCTCTCCGACGACGGAGGAGCAGGGGAAGGTGGAGGAGAACCCCACTTGCTCGGCGACAGGGGGGACGGAGCCGTCGGCTCCCCCCGAGGAGGGGACAGCGGAGGAACAGGGCAGCCCCGGGGAGAGCGGCGATGGGCAACAGCAGGGAGCTAAGGAACCCAAGGCTGCAGAAGCCGGGGAGAAAGAGGAGGAGAAGCAGCAGCCAGGGGGGGAAAACCCTGGGGACACAGCCAAACCAGAGGAGCCCTCAAAACCCGCGGAGCCCGAGCCCACGACAGCCCCCGTGGCGGCAGCGGAGCAGAAGGAAGAGTAGAGCCCACTTTGGCATCGTCCTGATTTAAGACTCTCACACCATCCCAGTAACACCATGGACTCGCTGCCGTGTGTCCCCCCCTCCCCAGCACCTCCCTGTCCCACCTAGGACTGACAACGCTCTCTAAAACCTATCCCTCCTCCTGTTATTTCTTCCCACCCCCTCCCTCCCTTCTTAGAAAGCTGGTTTGGATTCCCACCACCACAACTCGGAGCAGTTTTATCTTGAACCCCTTGGAACTGGGGAGGAAGACTATCCTGGACATAACTGGAATTTACAGTTTGTAAGACCCCCAGCTCTCCCCCCACCCCGGCTCTGGTCTCCTGATTGTCCCCTGTCCTCGCCCCCGACCCCGGCAGCCCCCGAAGCCCAGCAAACCAGTGACTGTTCAACGGATTCTT